ACAAGGGCACAACGACTATGAAATGGTTCCACATTCTTCCTACAAAGGACATCCGAAGGACATTTTTCAGCCTCTAATAAAATCATGGAATCAGTAGTTTCTGATTGGAAAGTTTAAGGTTTTTGAATACCGACCCTTTAAAAGCATGTGTCATAAAAAATAAACAGATGCAAAGACACGTGGAGAACACAACAAGCAGACTTGGCAGAATTAATCCTGATTTGAAATGAATTTTGGAGAATCAGTAGATGATGAACTATTTCAGTAATGTGTTTTCCTTCGCCGCACAGTAGCCTATGCCTGCTGAATCTGCCGTATATAGCCATGTATAAGGTTTGCTTTTGATTTAAACCGTTAACATTTCTTCGTTTAAACCAGTAATGCTACGTGTAGCAAAACACTGTAGAGTAAAATATAAAAGCAATTTTCTCTTTATAAGATATTGATTTTTAAATAACTAATCAAGGTTTGAGGTTACCCTATGGAAGGAAAAAAGGCAAACTCAAAACTAGATTAATAAAGGTATACACACAATTTCAGTACTCTGAACCTTGGTTTTAAAGCAATTAGTGAAATAACTCCGGGACCAATGTTAGATGATAACATGACAATAAATATATAGTTTTAGTTTTTTAAGTTTTAAAATGAATTTTAAATTTAAATGGAGGTAAAATAATTATATCCTTGCATTTAGGAATAATTCTAATCAAATGCTTGGTTTGGAGACACTAAACTTTTCCTCAAGGTTACTGTGAGGCTTGGGAGGCTGAGAAGTAACAAGAACAAGTTCATGCAGCTTTAGTGACCTTGCCTATAGCCAATTTAAAGGCTCTGAGAACAAGTGAATTTCTGAATAAAGCTATAGCTCATGTTTTGGTATTTCATTTTAAACTTTAGCCTCAGTATAAATTGGTATAAAAATATTTGATTCCTCAAGGACTCTTTCAGTTATTGAACAACCTGAATGGAGCCTTGGAAGCACAGCTACCTGCAAACACATGGAAAATGGAGAACAAGAAATTAAAGTGAGAATTCAATTATACACAGAGCTCTACGGTGCTAGGGCCAGCATATTACTCCTTGAACATCAGAGCACTTAGCCCATAGGAAAAAAAAAAAAAAAAAGCCACAAAAGACACTACGATATTTAGCTCATAGAAAACAATATAAAAAACAGTTTGATCCCTAGACTCAGAAAAGGACTGCCTTTATAGATAGCTAATGCATGTTTTTACATGGACTCTCTCTGATATTTCATGCTCTTTTTACAAAATAGGTTTTGGGAGGAAGGTCTCTTGATATCACTTAAGCAATCAGAAAATGGCAAAACAAACTGTGGAAACCCTTTGATTCCTCAGCAGTGTTTGTGGTTTTGTATCATGGGTTTGACTCTTTGGAAGAACACAGTTCTTAAGGTAAGATATCTTAAATCACAGAAAACTAAACGAAATTATCCCAACGCTTGTTCTCCTCCAACATATTATTTATATTGGGGTAACAGGTCAATATTTTTTTCTAAATGCTTATAAATTTTTCACAGCAGGAAAGAATCATCATTGCAAATAGCCTTTTTCTAGAGTCTACTGTATGCCAAAGATTTTACATACAAGTTTCAAAGATGCATTGATTCACCAAGGATTTTTTAAGCACCTGTCTTAGTCACTTTTGGCCTCTATAACAAAATACCTTACACTGGCTAGCTTATAAACAACAGAAATTAATTTCTCACAGTTCTGAAGGCTAGGACCTCAGCAATCAAGGCACTGGCAGATTCAACATCTGATGAGGCCCATTTTGTGGCTCATAGATAGCACCTTCTCATTGTGTTCTCACATGATGGAAGGGGCGAGGCAGCTCTCTGAGGCCCCTTTTTAAAGGCACTAAACCCATTCATGAGGTCATTGGAATGTAATCATCTAATATCATCACATTATCATTAGATTCTCAACATATGGATTTTGGGAGGACACAAACATTTAGATCATGGCAGTAGCTTACTATGTTATAATCCTGACAACAAATCTTCAAGGTACATATTATTAGCACCATACTTCAAATGTGAAAATTATTCTCAGTGAAGTCAAGTAATTCAACAAAATTTATAAATATAACATCATCAGCACAAGTATTCAAATCCAGGATATTTTGTCTTGCTATCTTAAGCAACGTAAGCATAAAGAATCTCCAGTGCTTATGGATGTGACCTATTTGGAAGATGAAATCTTTCATCTTCCCAGGTAGGTTTAGTCTGTGATGATAGTATCTTACAACAATACAGGAAAAGTTGTAAGAATAAAACAGATTTTGATGCAAATTTTTAAGGAGAAACACAAAATGTCAGGTAGGATGGATTATTCTTTATAGTTTATAGAATAACTCAAAGGGTTATAGGAGAGAAAAAAATAACTGTAGAAATCTTATATGTTTCCAACTAATCATCAGTAAGAATTATGTAAGAACATTCTCATTCCTGTCTCTATGACCAGTAAGTGCAGTGCTAAAGTTTGAAAAGTAAATTGTATTTTCCATTCCTGATTTCAGTTATAATGACAATGGCTTCATCTAAATAATCTAGAAAATATTGTCTTCTTCATTTTAAGTTTGCCCATTTTGGGAGAAAGCTGTCATAAAATGTTTGAATATCTTAAAAAGTTTAAATTGGTACCCTGCTATAATCATGGTAGAATCAGGGAAAGCCTAAAGTCGTAAGAGTAATAAAACAATACAGAGCAAATTTGCAGTGATTAGATGAAGATAATTTACATTTCTATTTGAATGTACAAATCATATGTCAGGGTATGCTATTTATCTACCATACCAAATATTTTATATCAAATACATTTTTATAAATAATATTAATATTCAACTGCAAGAGTCCTCCAGAGTACTGTTTCATTAATCAATAATGTAAAAACCTTAATATTGTATGTTACAGATTGTATTGACATACTGCAAGTACATCATTCTAAGTGTCCTGATAACAACCTTAAACTTTTATTCTCTAATTAAACTTTAAAATTCTGAGATTTATTATTGTCAAATTATTTTTTCCAAGTCGAGGTTGCACCTGTGGTCATTTCATGGCTGTCCTAGACAAAGTTAAATGTCATTTCCTACACAATTGTCACCAACTTTAACTTCCCCTTTAGACAGCTCACTTTTAGGTCTTTTTACTAACACAATTTCCATGCAAAGCAGTTTTAGACATAAAAGATAACTTTTGAAAAAAAATCTCAATTTCTATGGAAGACCTGATTTATGATAGCTGTTTTAATTTTTTTTACTACATAATATTCTATTTTTAAAAATCTTGTTATAAAACCTCTTCCGTCTTCACAATGTAGTACCGTACTCTATTTTTATTGATTTAGCACTCATTTTCGTCCTCTGGCAACTGCTGTCCCTAGCATAATCTCTTATTGGCTATCATGCAGAACTTATCAATGATTAATCCTGTCAAATTTAGAGTCAGCTATGTGACCAGGGACTCCTGATTATTTCCTGAATCTTGCCTAATCTCAAGAACCTTAATGTAGCTTCAATCTTAGCTTGCTCCTTATTTTCTCTACAAGATGATATTTTCACGTTAGCCAATACCAATCTCCTATTTCTATCAGCTATATAATAGTGTCAGTTTAAAAAGACAAATTTCTTTTCTAAAAAAATGATTACATAAAAGCAGATTATCAATAAAGATGAATAACTGCCTTGTAGTCTCTAAAATAACTCTAGCACCTTTTTTTTATCCCGATATACTCTTCAACTACCTTGATACAATTTCTACAGTAAAGATAAAAGCATAGTAGCAAAACATTTTGTCTAACCTTGGTTTACAAATGAAGGTGAACTGATTTCTGAGATGGTCAGGAGGGATCATATTTGAAATTTCAATGCAATTGTCAGATTCATTAAATATATTTATTAAAAAATCATTGTTGTGTAAAAGAAGGATGCCTTTATGGGAGTTACTTTTTCCACATATGTACATTTATTAATTTACTTCAAAGGGGTTAAAATTCGTCTTTTTTAAGATAGACATAGATTTATTTTAAATCTTCCATCTAAAGATGTCATTGGCAATGTTAAAAATGGTCATCCTTTAGCAAAGTCAATATAATTCTCCAGATAATATCATTTACAAATTTTGCATGTCTAATTAATTTCTTGTTAAAGCTGCTGTACTGTCGTGTTAATTGGATTATTGCTCTAATTATACAATTCTCATTTTTTGTTAACACTTATTTGATTATTTTATTATGAACATAACACATACATGTTTTAACATATTTAGACATTTAGGAAAAATGAGGCCGGGCGCAGTGGCTCACACCTGTAATCCCAACACTTTGGGAGGTGGATCACTTTGTGGGTGGATCACTTGGGTTCAGGAGTTCGAGACCAGCCTGGCCAACATGGTGAAACCCTGTCTCTACTAAAAATACAAACATTAGTTGGGCATGGTGGTGTGCACCTAATCCCAGCTACTTGGGAGACTGAGGCAGGAGAATTGTTTAAACCCAGGAAGCAGAGGTTGCAGTGAGCCGAGACTGCACCATTACACTCCAGCCTGGGTAACAGAGTGAGACTCCATCTCGGAAAAAAAGAAAAAGAAAAATGAGTTATCTACATTTACCCCCAAAAATCCAAAACCTCACACAATGCTTCAGAAGAGGAAGAGCCCATGTAGGTGCCTGAATCGGTACCCAACGAGGAGAAACCCTCCCTGAAGGGGCTTTGTGTTAGGAAAGCAGACGGAGGTCCTGGCAGGCAGATGCCCAAGGCAGCTATGCAGAGGCCACCACCTGACTCCTCTTTTCACTGCTGGAAACACAAGGCATTTTTCTCCAATATATACTATGAGAACCTGATCAAGCTCCTGGGTAAAACTCACAGAAGATTGAAGCTACCTCCATGACTGAGTTCCTCTAAAGTGTTTAATTCTCAGAATTGTTTTTACTGATCCTCTTACAGTTTGTTAATTACAGTCCAGGTTTTCCTACCCTGACACTGGTTCCTGTGGAGGTTTCGGTTCACGAGTTTCTTCTTCCATAAGTTTTGATTCTGTGTATTGCCTATCTGTCTCCTTAATTTGGGGGTAGCAGTTAGCCCTATGACCTCGTTTCCCCTGTGACTCAATAAAGAGTGGTTGATTTTTCAGTTTGTTCAGCTTTTTACTTGTTTTTAGGATAAAGTGGCAATTTTAAGCTCCTTACATGTGGAAACAGCCTCATTAGTTTTTCTATTATTAGTATTCAAATAAGTGTTGGTAAGAAAGAAAATCAACTAGAATATTGATTTATTGCTGGTGAGGTGTCAATTGATAAAATTGCTTTGGAAAACCATTTGGAATTATCTACTGAAGTTGACCATATGTTTATTCTATGAACTGGCAATTTAACTTCCAGGTACACACTCAACAGAAATTGTACATGATGTACACATTTCAACCAAAAACTATTCCCAAGAATATTTGTGACAGCAATATTTATAGCAGTCTCAAACTGGAAAAAATCCAAGTGTCCATCACTGTAATCTGAAAATATATTTTGGTAGTATATAAAATGAATAGTGCATAGCAAATAAACAAACTGGTACCAAATGCTACCATGTAAAAAAATACATAAACATAAAACTGAGTATAAGAAGTCAGACCCCAAAGCACACATTGTATGATTCTATTTACATAAGAATCTAAAAGTGAAGAAAAGCTGATCTATGTTGTTAGAACTCAAAATATAGGTTAAACTTTCAGAAGGAGAAGGGGAGTGAGGAATAGTGATTAGAGGGGCCATAACACAGGCTTTTGGGTGCTGGTAATAGTCTTTGTCTTAGCCAGGGTAGTGGATATACAAGCGAGTTTCAGTTGGTCTCAGAAGCTCAACTGGTATTCACTGTCTCCCTTCTGCACTGCCGTTCTAAATATTTCTCACCCTCAGCTGTCACCTCTGCAGGTCTTGATGGCTTACAGGTGGTATGACTCAAGCCTTTATTCCTGAGTAGTGGTAACCACAACCTTCTCAAGCCAAGGTTGCCGTACATGTCCATTTTCAGTTATAACTGGGTGAAGGATTATCAAATAGTACCCAGGTGGATCATCTGATTTCCACAAGTATGCCTCTCTCCCTACTGTGTAAAAAGAGCCCCTTTTTTCCCTTACTAATCTGCATAAATTGTCTCTGCCAAGACAGTGACTTATCTCCTTGATTGCTGATTGCTGGAAATGAAGAGTCCAATGTGTGCAGGTGGCAGCTGTAGCTTACATATCAATAAGGCCATTGTTCTTTCACTGAAAAGAGTTCTCTCCTTTCAGGGACCAGAATCTCTAACCCTACAGATTCCAGCACTGCAAGGACAAAAACATAAAATCCTACAGAAGATTCTAGGAAGGAATGATGAATGGGGTCACTCCGGTTTCCACCCCTTAGTTCCTGGCTCATATGGAAATAGAACCATATGGAGATGGTTGAGTCAGTGCATATACTGTGCTTTGAAGAATGGAATGTGATGCTTGAAGAGTACCCTCTCTGAGCTTGTATTTCAGTGGTGCCTTCAGTGGACCATTCAGATGCTGTATAAAGCTAGATACTTCTGGATGTTTAGTACATGACACAATGAGTGAACCCCAAAATTACGGACCTGCTCCTGCTTCTATTTGGCTATGAAATGAGTTATCTGGTCAGTTGCTATATTGTTGAGAATTCATGCCTATGGATCAGGCATTCTTTAATTATCATAAGACACCATAAGCCTATGGAAATTGGTTCAGCAGGCAAGAAAGGAAAAGACCGTACCCTGAATAGGTGTCTATCTTTGAGGATGAGCCACTGGCCCTTTCAGGACAGAGGGGCTCAATGTAGTCGACTTGCCACCTAGAGACCTACTGATCTGTTTAGGAATAGACTTTATCAGCATTAGTCTCTGTGGCTTTAGTTTGGACATTCAAAGGTAGCATTATCTAGGTCAGCCTTAGTAAGTAATAAACCATGGCACCATTTCTGCAAATGGCCACTCCATTCTTATGACTATGATGCTAGTTCTGAGATGGTTGTTGATTCAGGATCAAGGTCCACACTTATGTATTCAGTGGCTTTTCTATGATAAATGCTTTCTAAAGGGCAATTCTATGTGATGCAAAAATCTTCACACTTTGGGCACACTGCCATATGCTCATTCTCATGAATCTACCCAAGACTTCCTTGTCTTTCAATTTTCAAATCTTTTCCTTCCAGGCACCCTGGCGTTTGGCTAGATCATTGGACACTGATCAGAAGTTTGTATATATTCCTACTTCAGAGCACTTTTGCTTTCATGAAAGTAAATGACCAGGTGTATTTATTTGATCTTTGCCCATTGAGAAGATTGTTTTCTCTCCACTGTCTCTCAAGGTAATTTGCAAATGTACTTGTAATGCAACTGCTATCCATTTTTGGCCTATACCAATTTACTGGGCTTTAAACCAAGTTTAGGCTTTTTCTCTTTAAGCCAAGTCTTACAGAAACTTTCAATGGCCATAGGTATATGCTAGTGGAGAGGCACTGTAAAAACTATGGTGAGGGGCATGGCAACTCTGGGGCCTCCAGCTTATGGTTTACTCCTGTCCTCTTGTCCTGTGCAGCCTTGATCCCAAAACCACCATTACAAGACTATAATGAACTACTTGCTGGGCATGCATATCATTACACACTGGGCATGTAATCATAGCTTTATGATTTGGCAAGTTAAAAGCAGCCAGCTCACAAAAGGAAGTTCCAGATGCTTTGTCATTTAGTGCTCCATGGTCATTAATGATACACAAGCAGCTCTTCCTTGATTCTAGACAGCCTAGCTTTCTTCAGAACCCCATTTGTACTTGCCCTCCACTGCATATTACTGACAGCTTCAACAGCCTGAGAACTGCTGGATCATATGGCCCAAGAAGGAAACCCGCTCCTACCATAGCCTATATCTGCTGTGGTTCTTTTCTACTTCAAGCAACACTCAAATTTGGCAGTCTTCTGTATTCCTCAGTATATATACCAGAAAGGAATTCCTTAGTGTGGCATGAATTGCTCCTAGGACCCAAAGAAAACTACTAGCGATTGTGGTTCCTTTTTGTTTTGTGGTATGGGATACAAAATAGTACAAGTTTTCTTTTACTTTTGAGGGAGTATCTCAACATGTCCCTGATCCATGGGCCCACTTGTATCTTTGTAATTTTATCTTCTGCCTTCTGGGAAGCATAGGTATTACCCAGGCCATTAGGATATTAGCCCCTCCAGCTTGCTCTGTTCAGTCAACATGATCTCACACATGTAATGCATCAATGTGATATTCTGAAAGATGACAGGAAGGCCATGTTCTTTTTAGACTGTATTATGACAGTGTGAGATAGTTAACATAATCATGGTATAAAATGACAAATAAATGTTGGTGTTCTTTTCATTCTAATGTAAGATGTTTCTGAATCCTTTTGATTAGAATGGAAAAAAAATAAATTCTCCAAATCAATGGCTTCATATGAAGTATGTGAAGCTTTAATGATCTTCTCTAATAACAATACTATGTCCAAAACAATAGCTGCAATTGGGACTACTACTTGGTTAAGATGGGATCATTTACAGTCATTCTCAAGGATCCATCTGGTTTCTGCAGGAAACTAAATGTTGAGTTAAATGGAGATATTCTTTAGGAAAAGTTGGTATTAATATCCACCATTAATGCTGGAATGCAATACTGGCTTTTGTGTTTGCTTTTTGTTTTGCTGTGTGTGTGTGTGTGTGTGTGTGTGTGTGTGTTGTGTATTTAATTTGATTTGGTTTGGTTTTGGTTTTACAATATCTTGGCTGAGGTCAAGGGCATTTTCAGAAACTTCCACTTAGCCTTCCCCAGTATGATAGCTTTTACCCCACAGGCCAAAAGCTTAATGTGAATATCCTTCCAACTGCCAAGTATATTTATCTCAATTCAGTTATACTCTAGAGACCTTGCAAAAAACAACTAAGTAGGTCTAGGGACCTAGTGGAATCACAGTAAAATAAACATTAGTCAGAATTTCATTCATTATCTAGTCCTTACAGGACCCCACTCTAACAAAGGACCCAGGGAGATGTTTTAGGTTTTCAGATTTCAATGTCTGCTCCTATCCTGTGCCTAACAGTCCTCGGTATAACTGGATGGTCTTCTTTCACGGTATACAGTCACCGGAGTAAGTAGCCATAGGTCTCTGTGGAGAAGGTTTGGGGAAATCATTATGGTATACAATTGTTTTTATGTTGCATTCTCTTCACTTATTGGGTCAAGGTCTGAAAATAGATCTGGTCCAAGAGCTAAAGAAGGAATCATGATTTTTTATTACAGTGACTGCTCTCAGCCCTCTATTCTTGCCGCCTTCTGATTGCAGACGGTAGGGAGCACCCTCATTAGCTGCCCATCTATCTTTCCCCTAGGAACATCAGAGTCTATTAGCCATCTCTGAAGGTCATTTCCACCTAGCTGCCTCTCCACCTTGCCATTTGGTACAGTAATTGCTGCTCTCTGGCCCCCTGACAGTTAAGCACCATCTTCTGTCTTCCATTACTTTTGAAGCCTCATCATTCCCATGGTCATTAACAAGCTCATTGCTAAGAATACCTAATATCTATTCTCCCCTTCTTTCAACAATTGTGTCCCCAAATTTTAGTTAGAAACATGTCAAGCTATAGACCACATGCCTAGTCTCCCTTACAGGTAGTAAAGGCATTTGTGGCCAATGAAAAATGAGCAAAATTCCTGTATTATACTTCCAGTTGGCACCCTTAGAGGCCATGCAGTCATAAGCTTGCTTTCTCTCTCTCTACTTCTGGATATGGAGTCGGCCTATCAAACATAATGACATATCATTTTGAGCACAGGATTGAGGTGATGCTGGAGTGATGAGGCAGAGATAGTTTGGGTTTCTAGAAGACTTCAAGGAATAAACAGTTTACCGGTCCTGAATCACCTACCTCTGAACTATCCCATAAGAAAGAAAGAAACTTCTATCTTGTTTAAGCTCTTTATCAGCTGAGTATTTTTAGAGCAGTTAAATCTGTATTCTAACTA